AGTTTTGGTTTAAAGTATTCTTTAATTTTTTATTGTTATTAGTAAGAGGTACCGTCTCTTCAGTTTCAGTTAAAAGGTAATTACTTATCTTGTATACCTTCCCAACATTTCAATGTTTGCAGAAAAATTAAATGAAAAGTAAATAGAGTTTTTGGATTCATATCATCCTTATTCATGGGAAACATTTATATTTGCTTTTAATTATCTGGAACGAAAACGTATCATTTTTATGATTCATTGTTTGTGTTACTATTAAATAGAACTAAAAAAAAAAAGTTATATAGTTCATATATTTCCAAATACGTACACAATTCAAAAACAGATATTTAATAATCCACGGAAAATCCTTTGCAGGAAAACGTTTGTGCGTCCGATCAATAAAGTAATTTATATGTTATTTATATATTTATTAATAATAAAAAATTTGTTTTGTCTCTACTTAATTGACTATTCGGCTATACAGGTTTTTTCACTGGCCAGGAGAGTGAGCGGAGGATAGACACCAGATTTAAAATTCACGTCACCAGGACTCGAATTTTTTTAACTTCGTCTATTAGGTTGCCGAGTAAAGCGTATTTTGCGAACCCGTTAGCCCTCTTGGCCACCCCGCCTGCTAATAGCAACAACATCTAATTATTGATGAAATAAAAACGGTTTATACAACATGATTTATTCAGTATTTACGCGCAACCACGAGGTTTATTCTTTATTCTAACTAAGAAATGATTAACATTGTTTGAATAATCAATAAGTCAATGGGTGAGTCCTTATGGAATGTTTCTACATCATAGTCCAGGCAAGACTGATATAACAAAATAAATAAATTATCTGATATTATCTGGTGTACTTAAACCAATAATTCGAGTATCTTACTCATTTATTTCTCAAACAAATTATGAATAATTTTATTTCTCCAGGTATGGATGGTAAAACATAATCCTACGTTTTCTGAGAACTAACGTTTTAAAAAAGTCGGATATATTTTTTTTACTATCGCAGCTTATCAGCAGCCGATTATTTTTTAATTTTTATTTTAATTGTTTACTTTTATTTTTTTTAAATAATAAGAACATATTTCTCTCATACCAAGTACCGACTAAATATAAAACGTTGAAATTTGAATTTCTTAAACTTGTTACAGTAATTACTAGCCTTGACTGTTATTAAGTCAGTGCTCGAGATTTATTAGCTAGTTAATTTATTGATCAAATAATTAATTATCATATTTCATGTTGTATAGCTGTAAATCTTGACCACTAACTGTAACTGCAGCAGTCTTTATCTTTATTTGTATTAAATTAAAATCTCATTTTATGGGTAATTAATAAAATACGAATAAAGACAAAAACAAATTTATCATTTTTTTAATTAGCTAAAAATTTATAATTAGCAATGAGAACGAGGAGAACTCATGAAGTGTAATGGGCCTATTTCATTATCAATTCGTGATTGCTTAAAAATCTAAGGCTTTAAAGGAAACCCTCCAGTAGCCAGCAAACCAATCAGCTACATATATCTCGTAGTTCAAAGCTTTATACTAGCCACTTTTAATTTTTTTTTAATCCCAGCTTTTATTAACAGGGGGTTAGAAAAAGTTTTTATAGAAAACATTCTGTAAGACCCAAGAAGAATAAATTTTATTAATTGATCAAAATTTATTCATTCATGTTTCATTATTATTATCACAAAAATATTTTTCCTTTCACCTTCGCTGATGTTCTACATAATCTTGAAATTAACTAGTTACTGTGCTGGTTAACATTCAGTTATTTTTCAATTGTTATCTCATTCAACTGCTACTTTCACATAACCTTACAAATTTTAAGAGGTGTACTTGCTACAGTTTAATTATTTATTACAGCTATATAAGTAGTTGATAGAGTTATATCAAAGAATCGTCGACTTATAACTTAAAACTTATTTGTCATTCAGCACTCTCGCTCAATCTACACTGGGTTTAGCCCCAGTGAAGCGGTTGAGAGAGAAGTGCAGGGATCTCCTGGAGTCTTGTTTTTCCTTCTACAGTTGGAGGGAGAAGCCTGGTTCGGGGTTCCTTGCCTAATTGTATATATTTTATATAGGTATGACTATGTTTTTATGTTTTTTAATTTACTTATCTTTAGGATATTTAATTTTTTTTATTGTACATAGTTTTTGATCATTATTTTACTTCTGTTAATTTTATATTTTCTGTATATATGGTGTGAATTCGTTCATATATAATTATTGTCCAAGTGACAGGTTATTATATTTCTAAATTAAAAAAAAAAAAATTGTCATTCAGAGTTTTATAGCATTTTTTTCCCTTAACCCCATGGGATGTGGTGTTGAGTTCAGGAGGTAGGCCGATGTTTAAAAATGGGATCCCTTGTACTGCACAAGGTACATTTTAAGAGAGGAGTAGGGAACTGGAAGTACGGTTTATTTTCATTTTAGTTTTGGTATAAGTCTTGGTCTAGTGACGTGGCTCTCTAATGTCCTGTAAATGTCAATTCATTTTCTCAGTCTAGTAATAGGTTTTTAAGTAAGTCTGCCATCTCATTGGTGTGTGAGTAAGTGTTTTAAAATGTTGGTTTGTCGAGTATTTAAGGCTATCGAAGAATTTTATACACCTGCGTGTAACAAAGTAGCCCAATTACGGTAATTCGAGGGTGGTATGTATTAGATCCGTATGTGTTTTTTTGTAAAATTGTGTCTTACTATAGCAAATTAATTATTATCCAAAGTTTTAAAAATGATAAAAAAAACTCAAATGTTGGGGGTTACAGTAAGTGACCGTTATGTAGATGACTGTTCTATTCATAACTGAAATAGATTGTTTTTCTCATATATTTCATATATTGTTTCATATAATTTAAAGCTGTGTGATTCAGTTTTAAATGATATTATTTCGAATATTGAGTAATCAAAAAAAAGTTGTTGTATTTAAATTTCACATATCTGTGAAATTTATTTAAGACTGAATCCTAAAATATAAAATAAATAAATAATCATCATCCAAAAGCCATGAGAAAATTCAATACCAATTTCGAATAAATATGGTTTAGATATTTTTGGAACTTGCTTCAGTTGAATTCCAAAATTTAACTTTCTAGGACTTTGTGATGATTAATCGAAATCTGTCTGGTCTGTGATTTAGCCATCTAAACTTCATTGTTAGTTTAGGACTTCAATTAGGCCTTTAAGTTCACTAAGTACCACAGGATTATGTCCTGTCATCTTTTTGCTTGGATATTGACTTCTCAATGGCCTAATAGATAAATTGCCTGTTAACAAACTATGATTCTCAGGAATCTAATGGCTAAATCAGCCATATAGTAATAAATAGAGAGTTAGCTGAAAAATAAGCCTTGCTCTATTCAGTTTAGTTTGTGAGATAAATGAATGTCCACTAAATACTATAAACTATCTTCGTGACGTAATCTATCTATCTTCGTTTATAATTTTAATGAGATTTATATCAGATTTTTTTAATATTGTTATTTTTTAATTAATTAATTATTGTGCATAGTTTTTTTATTATTATTTAATTATTATTTTACTTTTGTTAATTTTATATGTTCTGTATATATAGTGTGAATGTGTTCATTTATCACTATAATTATTGTCCACGTGACAGATTATTATATTTCTAAATAAATAAATTAAAAAATAGGCTTTCAAATTCGACTACTTACACATAAGTTCCTTTTTCCTTGTCAGATTAATTTTATTTTAAAAAATAAATAAAATGAATTCTTGATCTGCTTGTATCTACTACTGAAACCGTTTAGTTGATAGTACAAATTAGAACAAATTAATGAGAATGGACACAGATATACGTTGAGAAAGAATATTTTAGAAATTGAAAAAAAAAAAAAATAATAAATTAGTTGAGGAACATTTTTCAGTCATTATTGAAGGTAAAAAGTACTGATGCCACTGAGACAGATCTACTCTGTACATTACATTGTTTACATTCAACCCCCTTCGGAGCATTGATGAGTGCAGATCTAAATTCACAAAGCAAATTACTTTTGCCTATTTACTAACATTGTAAACAGTTTTTACTCTTTTTTTTCAATATATATTTATATAGGATGAATGAAGTATGCATATGAAAAGCAATAAAAACAGTAGGAACAGACTGTCCCGTAACTAAAAGAAATATTTAAAAAGTAGACCTCAACAGCTACAAAAAATGTTTATATGAATCATAGTTCGATTTCCCTCAGAAAAGTAGGAAATTCAAGTTTTGTATTTTTTATGTGAATACAAATAAGGAAATATTTGATCATGCAGATCAGGAAATATTTGAATTTTATCTTTAGATCAGTTAGATTGTTATGCTATAGTTGAAAGGAGGATATATATATTTTATTATTATAAACTATACTATAATAAAAAATTAATGTAAATCCATTTGTATTATTAACTAACGTCACCCAAGACAAGCACTTTAGCAGGGTTGTGGCTGCTGACATGAAATTTCTAGGAAGAATTAACTACAACTTAGTTAATATGAACTTAAAGATTATTAAACAAGGAAATTTTTCTAAAAGTATGGTATCTGTAGTATAGTAGGAGGGTGATAAAAAAAAATCGTGAATAATTGACTTTTTTTAAACATAACTCAGCTTAGTTCATTCTCTCAAAAGTCCTATTTAAACGACTTAAACGATGACAATCTTTATTTGTATTTGAAGTAAATTTTATCTATTTTACTGTGCAGTAATGATTAATTACTTAAATTAAATATTATTTTAGTTATCGCTTCGTATTCTTCAAAAAAACGTGACATTAAAAAAAAAAACCAAAACTTAAATTTCCTATTTTCCTGCTAAAAATGTAACCAATCATTATAGAAAAAAAATTATAGCTCTTGGGGTCAATTTTCACCCTTTTAAATATTTCTCCCTATTTATTGGACACCCTTTTTTTTTTTTTTTTTTTTTTTGTACTCATTGTCTTTTTGGTCGAGTAAGACCGATATATTTTGCAGTGAAGTTGTCGGACAGTACCTGTTGAGTCTATCCTGGTGTCTGATCCTGCGGGTCGCAGTGACGACCTGCGGTTACGACTGTGTCCGACCCTCGCAGACTGTGAGCGCGCTGCCGGACGCCGCCTCCTCGACGGGCTCCCGCCCTCCCGCTCCGTCATTCTCATCACTACTGCCGCCTTCGCGCACCTCCCTCCCTCGCTCTCTCTATCCCTCCCTCCCTCTCACTTCATCCCTCCTTCCCTCTCCCTCCACTATCCCATCCCTCCATCTCTCCTCAGGGATTCCTGTTGACTGATTTCTTATGCATCCTTCAAAAGAACATAAAATATCAATCGCAGAAATATTAATTTTTTCTGGAAGGGCCCTTTACAAATAACGAAATATTTGATCATGCAGATCAGGAAATATTTGAATTTTATCTTTATATCAGTTAGATTATTATAGTATAGTTGAATGGAGTTTATATATATATATATATATATATATATATATATATATATATATATATATATATATATATATATATATTTAATTATTATAAACCACACTATAATAAAAATTTAATGTAAATCTATTCGTATTATTAACTAACATCACCCAAGACAAGCATTTTAGCAGGCTTGTGGCTGCTGAAATGAAATTTCTAGGAAGAATATTAGGAAAGACTGAATAATAAATGAGAGAATAAGAGAGGAACTCCTGATATCCTCAAACTGAAAGCAAATATGGCATGCCGGCAACTTCTATGGTATGGGCACATATTTAGAATGCACCATATCCAGCAACTAGATTAGGAGAGAGAAGATGAAGCAATTGGCGCTCTACCGGGATGTCGAAGCATGGATGGAGACTTCTCCACGCTGAAAGGCGCATAAGGAGGAAGAAAAGATCTTACGATGAAATGGTCAAAAGCGATCATTGCTGAGATGGGATAGATAAAGATGGGAAGTGTAAAAAATAGTTTTATAGCTCGAAAGGAGACAAAACAACCACTTGGATACATCTCTTGCCATTCAGTAATAAAAAAAAACATCAATTCAGTCTGTTATTTCCATAAACTAAAGAAATAGAAAACCTGTAGATCCAAAAGGCAATTTTCTCTATCATTTCTATAGAGTGGGAGTGGGGTAGCTCAGGGGCACTGAGCTTCCAATGCAAAGGTCCCGGGTTCGAATCTATTCGATTCGGGTCCCGGCTCATGAGAGAACATTTATTTATCTGTTCCATTGGCCGTGAGGCGACTCTGGGTCGGGAGACCCTCCTGGGGCACACCCAGCCTCTATAAAGTGGGTATCCTTAATTAAATAATTAATTAAGGGGGAAAACCTGGTGGTTGAGCGTGATCTCGGTCAAATCACCTCCTTGAACAACCGTTGACCTAGAAACCGTGCTTTCCCTAAATAGTACTGAACCCCAGACCCTTTATGAGTTGTAGTGGTACAGGTTTTTTTTTTTTTTTTTTTTTTTTTTTTTTCTATAGAGTGCGACAGCACAGAAAGTTTGAGAACGAAAGAGGGGGTATAAAATCTCACTCTGACACCAGGTTTCAAAGCTTCAAATTTTGCCACCACTGCTTCACTACTAGGACTTCATTTAGTAATCTACATTGAACAACGAGTAACTGAGGTTTACTATATTATACAGTATTCTGCAGATTATAAATAAAAAGCCTATAACATTGATGATAAATAATCGAGCTCAATTACAATTATTAATAATTAATGAATAAATGACGGGTTGTGTGATCAAATTCATAATAATTATTAATTAAAATTATCAGTATTAAATTTTATATGCTATTTATTTTATTAGTTTTAATTAATTTAGAAATTGTTATAAATTATTGTAAACAGTATTTGGTTATTTACTTGTATAATTCATGTAGTGTTTGGTTTTATTATGCTCATATTGAATCGTATTATTTACAGGAGTTCATATTGTTGAATTTTTTTTTTTTTTTTTAATTTAAATATATTATTCTATTTAACTGCAGTCATTGGTTTCAGCTTACTTTTTGCCAACAAACCTTGTTAATATCTAATTAGTAATTATTTAATATAAAATATTATGTAGCAGCTTCTTTGTCCCATTAGTTAAATTTGGTTTCAATTTTAGCTGTTCTCATGATACACATTAATGAATTATAAATATACTAGTAGGCCTGTGCGAAAAATTCGCACATCATATTGTTATCAAAGGCCAGATTAATAAGAAAATAAAATAATGCAACGTATCAAAAGATAAAGAAATCAAATGTTACTTTATCGATAAATATAATCGACAAATAAAACAAAAATTAATTTAAATCTTCATTTTTGTTTGGAACCAACATGTTTACAAATTTCAGTAAGCTGTATCTTTGCTAAAAATTGTCCGATTTCAATGATTTTTTTCCCCCTTTTGCAGTGAATTAAGTAATCTTTTATATAATCACGGGCATAACCAAGGGAAAAGTGTGTAATGTTTTAGTTATTCGCACATAAAGTTTGTTTTCTTTCATAACTCGTTTGCCTGAATTTTCGGGGTGATTGGACTATTTTTCCCGCCTGAAGGAGAAGGAAGCCTTCGAAATTGGTGGCTCAATCTTGAGATTTGGTGAAAAATTGACGATGATATGGCTTGCCGATCAAAAACACCATTGATAAATAATATAAACTCCTCCTCTCTCCATCATAGAGACCTCAAGTCGACGAAATGAGACATGTATTCAATGACAGTACTACAATTAATGTAAAGTTGTGTGGATGCGAATCCTATGCCTAGAGTTATCTCGAAAATGGTACGTTTTTGGGTTTAAAAACGCAGGATCCGATAGTTCCGGAGGAATTATCCAGGTCTTGCTGTACGCATCAAAATCTTTAAGATCCAATTTGTCCCGTATCGATCTACAGACCTACCACCGTTCAGGTATTGAAGCATAGCAAAATGTTTGTATCGACTTTATTTATTTTAGAAAGAAAAACAAAAGTGGAGAATACGATTCGCTAACCCTCCGTGAAATTCTGAATCCAACGGTACCCCATTCATCGTATTTGAGCATGACATGAGCTTATATTTAGCTTATATTTGGTGCAAAACCGATTTCGAGCCTTACTGTAATAATATATGTACGGATATGGATAATTTTTTTATTAGCATATACAATTGATAAGGTAGGTACGGTGTAACAAGATATTGTTATTATACATTGGGAATGGATTAGTTATTTTCTTTCAAGTTTTACATATCATTATATGAATTCTAACACAGCCTAACTCATTTCTCACAACTTTAAGAGAGGTCCAAAGAAACTGCTTAATTTCTTTGCTAACGACCTGCTCCTTATCAGTTATAACATATCTGAAATAAAAAAAACCTTAAAAACATGATTTACAACTATGCATAGCGACCGTTCCATCAGAAATGAAGAAAGTTATCCAGTTAATTACCTTACTCATTTTAGACGAAAGTTGAGTAAGGTGGATCTAGAATTAATATGATGATACATAATATGATGATCAAAGAGTTGACTTTTTTTTATTAATATCGTGTAGCTCGTGACCGAATGTCGTGAGTAAAATGATAATTTATCAATATAAATTAGCGCCCAATTTCTCCTTTATTTTTTATAAAATAAAATATGAGTCAATAAAATCTTTCTCAATATTGTATAATAGAGAAATAATTTTTTGTAACAAAAGATATATCTGTTCCAACTAAACAATTTTCACTAACAGCGAACTTTTTCTTTTTTTTCTTTTTTTTTTTTTTTTTTTTGTTCTTCCCTACCAGCGAACTGTCAGTCGCCTACCCAGTATAGTTTTTTATACGACAAAACTGTTTTGGGGAAACGACTGACACTTAGCTGGTAGTCAAATATCGTCCTGCAACAGACCTAATAACAACTAAAGATCAAATAATTCCGACATTGATTCAGATATGTATTGTGCCGGCGATAAATTAAATAAGTAACTTTTATTTTAACTTACAAATTTGTTCCAGCAGTTTCTGCTTTTTTTAATGCTTTTAAGCAGTTTCTTTTCACCTATTTAAAAATATTTTACTTTTCTCCGTTAGATAAGCATTTTATAAAATCTCATTAAGATTTGTTACTTAACCAATAACTTATTTAGACTATAACTCATCACCAACATATCGACACGACAAAGAATTTTGAACAAGAAAATATAGAGATAAAAGAATATTTAAAATTACGAAACATCTGAAGTAATTAAAATAAATTGTCAGAAATCAGAGGGCAACTTCTACAAAATATCGGACATTTAAGTAAATATAACAGGTTTTGAATGCCCGTGGAAAACAGATATAAATTTATTTTAAATATTATGATTGGTTCCGAAATTTTCAATGAGATATACCGAATGAATATAAATATTGAAAATAATAGGACGATTAAATAACACAAAAGACGAAAAGAACATTAATTAAACATAGTCTTAATTTAAATTGTGTTTATATTATTAACTACGAACTATGGAACTAGAAATGATTGAACTATAAACGATATAAACGTGAAGTATCAAAACATATTTTCATCTGCATTTAGAAAAGTGAAATTAAATGTTTTTTTAGTACCTATTATAGTTTATTTACAAGCATTGCAATAACAATTGAATCCTCAATAATCAATCAAGATGAATCCAAGATACTAAGTATCGTTAGGATGAAATAATATTACAGGAAAATGAATAGAAAACAAAAAAATTGTTGGAAAGAAAAGTTTTAAAGTGGCTAAGGTAAATAGGAAAAAAAGTGAATTGAGGAAAATATGATAAAATAAACCAGCAGATGGTCCACACCAAGTCTATAAAACAAATATATGATATTTGTTTACATACAACAAAAATGTATTATTGACTTCAAACAATTATACATAACCTATATTAAATATTAAAGTAGATACATATACATCTAATGTATGCGAAGTGGCTGTTAAATAACGAGACTGATGCTATGAAACATTTTATTTTGATTTCATACATAACTACTTTATCACCTCACCTTTAACCCCCGCCCCTTTTTTTTTAATTTTCTGCACTTTTAAATTTATTTTTGTTTATTTATATTATTTTGTTTTTATTTTTCCGGGTCATATATTTTTTTTCACCAATAATCCCTTTATTTCTCTCTCTCTTTCTTCTTCTTATGTTATCCAG